ATAAGTTATAAAATTAAAACTTATTCATATCGCATTTTATCTTGTTTACAAACATTAACAAAATAATCTTACATTAAGTTATTAAATATTAAAATTTATTTAAATATAAAAATTTTTATTATACAATAATAACCAAAAATAATTCAGAGACTAAATTTATTAATAAAATATAATAAAAATTAAAATTTTCTCTCTATATTAAAATTCATAATTTTATTAAGAAATAATTTTATTTTTATATTAAAATAAAGTTTATTAATTATAATTTAATATATATTTTTTCAGAATTTTTAGATTTTTTTTGAAAGAGTTATTCTAATTAAAAGTTAATATATAAATTTTTATTAATTAAAAATAAAATTTAATAAATGAAAGTTTTTGCATTAACTTTATAATTAAAATAATCTTTTAGAAAAAAATTTAAAAAATCTCAAAAAAATATATATTAAACTATAATTAATAAATTTTATTTTAATATAAAATAAAAATTATTTCTTAATAAAATTATAAATTTTAATATAGAGAGAAAATTTCAATTTTTATTATATTTTATTAATAAATTTAATCTTTGAGTTATTACTTTTGATTATTACTATATTTTATTAATAACTTAATTTTATATATATATTTATTAATTATATATATTGGTAAAATTTTTAGCTTATAATTTTATATAAATATATTATAAAATATTAAAAATAATAATAATAAATTTTAATAATAAAAAATTATTATTAATAAATTTATCTTAAATTTTACTTATTTTTAAGAATTATATTTATAATTTATAATATATTAGAATTTTTAATTTTCTTCATAAATATTTATTTAAATAATATAAAAATTTAAATATATACTTGAGAGTATAATAAATAACTTTATTTAAAATTACTTAAATACTTATTTTATTAAATTTTTTTATAATTTATATTTTTAAAATTAAAAATTTTTAATAATAAGAAAACTTAAATAAATTTACTTATTATTTTATAAATTAATCCTAAATAAACTTATTTACTAAATTATTAATTATATATATTTAAAATTTTATATAATTTAAATAAATATTTATTAAATAATAAATAAAAAAAAATTAAAAAAAATATTTTAAATTTTTTATAATTAATTTTTTCAAAAAAAAATTTAATAAAAAATATTAATTATAAAATATTTTATTAAGATAAACTATTAAATACTTTTAAGTAAACTTTTTACTAGATTATCAAATATATATATTTAAAATTTTATATAAATTAAATAATATTCATTAAATATAACTAAAATTAAAATTTTCAGTTTTTTTTGATATATTATAATATTAATTAATAAAAATTTTATATTTAAAATCTTTAATATATTATAAAATAATATTTAAAAAATTAATAATATTAAAATATTTAATTTATATATAGTAGTGATCAAAAATAATAACTTAGAGACTAAATTTACTAATAAAATATAATAAAAATTAAAATTTTCTTTCTATATTAAAATTTATAACTTTAATAAGAAATAATTTTTATTTTTATATTAAAATAAAGTTTATTAGTTATAGCTTAATATATATTTTTTTCAGATTTTTTAGATTTTTTTTGAAAGAGTTGTTCTAATTATAAAGTTAATATAAAAATTTTTATATTAACTTTATAATTAGAATAACTCTTTTAGAAAAAATCTAAAAAATCTGAAAAAACTATATATTAAACTATAACTGATAAACTTTATTTTAATATAAAAATAAAAATTATTTCTTAATAAAATTATAAATTTCAATATGAAGAAAAAATTTCAATTTTTACTATATTTATTAATAAATTTAATCTTTAAGTTATTACTTTTGATTGCTACTGTATATACAATATGTTAAGAAAAAAATGGCGGTGGATATAAGAAGCATTTTTTTGTAATACATAAGAAATACGCGTTATTAATAATAATTGTACTACAAATACGATCAATTCCATATCTAGTAACCAAATTTTTATAAATACATTTTTTTGTTTACATGTACTTTCTTTGTTTACACTTTCGTAAAGATGGTTAACATGCAGCTTAAAGCCCAAAGACAGATAATTAAATATTACTGGCTCAACGGTACCCATTCAGCCAAAATAATACATGAGATAACAGGTATCTCTCTTCGTACAGTTGAGCATAATCTCAAAAAACTTAGAGAAATGGGTACCATTGAGTACAAGTGTGGAAATGGACGTAAAACCAAGATTATACAAACCGTATCTCGCGTTATCAGGCAGAATATCCGACGCAATAACGTTCTTTCGACCTGCCAACTTGCTGCAAAAATAGAAAATATGCAGAATATATCAATTACGCATGTTACAGTATGGAATTATATGAAAAAAAGGGATATAAAAGCTCTGTGCCTTTAGTAATGCCGATGCTCACAGAACGGCATATTGAGTTGAGAAAAGCATGGGCACAGG